GCACACGTCTTTGCTTTTAATATGCAACCCTGACATAAACCTGCATGGCTAGCATTTGGCCCTCAGAGATCTGCAGCCTCGCTGGCGTGTCGTGAGCATATTAATGCTGAGCAAATATGGATTCGGTATTGGAAAAGGGCATCACCATAGCAACATCAGCTTGGAAGATCTGCTTGATGAACTTGTTTTTGGATGAGTGCATGAGTTGGATGATGTCACTGTGGAGGCTGTCTCGGTTTTTCTCCAGGAAACCTGAACAATGAACCAGGAGGAGATTATGTTACCTTTTCAATGGAAACATAAATATTTTCATTCTTATTTTATGAACATTTTTAATATGATGAATATGGGATAAAGTACAGCTAGATGGCTATTATTGCAAAATTGATGCCAAAAGAGTGTGTCATCCTGATAGGGCTTTATGATGCTATAATGACAGACTGATTGTATATTATTCTTGCTTGCTTATTAAGCAGCTATTTAGAAAATAAGGAAAATAGTCATGAAGTGTTGATTTGAGTTGAAATTACAGACTGAAAAGTGGCAAATAATTATATTGTATAATATTATATAAATTGCACTACTGTTCAGAAGTTTAGGGTCTGTTAGATAATTTAATATTTTTCAAAGACACCGCTTATTCTTTACCATGGCTGTATTTATTTGAGCAAAAAAAACTGTAAAAACAATAATACTGTGAAATATTATTCCAATTTAAAATATCTGTTTTTTTTATTTAACATAATTTAATGTAATTTATTCCTATGATGGAAAAGATGAATTTTCAATTACTCCAGTCTTCAGTGTCACATGATCCTTCTGAACTTATTCTGATATGTTGATTTGGTGCTCAAGTAACTTATTATTATCAATGTTGAAAACAGTGCTGCTTAATATCATTGTTGAAACCGATCATTTTTTAGGACTCTTTGATGAACATAAAATACTGTCACTCTTGATCAATTTAATGTATCCATGCTTGTGTATATTTTAGTGTATGAAAAATATATTTATATATTATGTTTATAAATTGCTGAATAATCATATAACTCATATTATTAACAACGATATTATTTCACTTTGAGAAACTACTGTATTCTCAAATATTTGCAAGGACAGTGTTTTAGAGATTAGAAACTGAAATTATACATAGAAATTCAATTTTTTTTTTGTATTTAAAGTGTTTTTACATTGTTGTGCCTTCTTTTGTTGTAAAGAGCTATACAAATAAATGTATTATTATTATTACAATTATCATTAACTGTTTAATTCAGTAATGTGTACCTTTAGTTTCATAATGCACCACTCCAGCAAAGTGCTGAATGCCAAACTGGGTCTCGTGACTGTGCTTAGGAGGGATGTAGTTGGTATTAAGTTTGTGCTGGGAGTTCAGCTTGTTCAGCATGGTAGCATCTGTTCCCTACGAAACACAGCATGAACAGAAACACAGCACACAGTCATGGTTAGATATCCACTGTTCAACTGATAAATAAAAAAAAAAGATGTAAGATAAGTACTCAGAAATGAACCAGCTATGTTCTGTGGTGCTCTATGGAAAGTCCAAATGCACAGCATATTAACAACCTCAAACTTTACCTTTGGGAACTTGCTCTCCTCATCAATAAGGGAAATTATATTCATAGGTTTGATGGCAATCATATCCAAGGCATCCTGGTTGTCGGTGAACTCGATGTGCTGCCAGTTGATATCTTCCAGGTTGTACTCCTCCTGCTCCAGCTTGAAAACGTGGCGAACGAAAAATTGCTGCAGGTTCTCGTTTGCAAAGTTGATGCACAGTTGCTCAAAACTACAGCAGGAATGAATAAGATTAGTACCAGTTTGACCAAAAATGCCTTTTAGGTGCAAGACCTGAGGCAGACGGGTTGTGTTTGCAGAAATTAAAACAATCTACAATTTTTTATTTACTAGTACTCACCTGTTAATAGTGAAATCCTCAAAGCCGAAGATGTCGAGCAGGCCTATAGACCTGCGAACAGTCTTGTTTTCTGTGGAAGGAGCCCTGTATATGGCGGCATTGATTTTATCCACTATCCACACAAATAACCGGCCATAGATTCCCTGATGGAGACAGAAATCACTCACTTAGTGGATATTGATGACTTCTGTGACAAACTGAAAATCAAAACTGGGCCGTTTATTGATTGGGAACAATCTCACCTTGACAAAGGCGTCACGGACATCCAGCCCCTGCTCCACGCTGAGAGGGGTAGACACACTTTCCCCCCTGGTGATCAGTGTACGTGTTGTCAGACATGTCATGACGTCCTGAGGGTCCACCTGCAGAAAGAACCAGCATAGTTCATTGACAGCCGACCAATTCAATAACTGGTCAAAGGTAAATATATTACGATATGAAGGCTACATTAAAAAAAAAATACAGAAAGGTCATGGAGTACAATATTAATATATTTATTTAATATAGCAATACACTGTTAAAATTAATGTTCCGAAATAAATAATTTCTTTTTTGTAACAGCATAGATGTGAAAAAT